ACTAAAAAGTACTTAATGAAAGAATACTTTGTTGTAGTGTTTTGAAAACCTCACGAGATAAGCTACAAGAGCTACAATAAAAAAATGGAGGATTTTATTCAAAAAATTTAAGTTGACTTTGTCCTAATCTTGAAGACGCCATTCAAAGTCAAATAGATATTATTAAATGCAACTGTTTAAGCTTTACAACTTTCGCTTAAAGCATTATTATCTAAAATACACTGTCTCTGAGATATTTAGCCGTGTTTTGGGATACTTTGTATATACAGAGTGTTCTCAAATACGAGTACAACCGACTAACTTTGAAAAATTATTAGGGTCACCTTAAAGATCTTTGTTTGCAAATTGACTTGGGGTCGGAAATGAGTCGTATGCCGCAGCATACGGAATGTTTGACACAAATCGGGATCTCCAAATATTTAAAAAGATATAAGTTTTATAAAATACTGTTTCAGACAAAAATTGTAGAGTGTAAAAGGATCTTATGAGTTTGACCTTGGGTGGTGTCGCTAAAGTTAGGTCAAAGTTATCTTGAATTTTTTTAATGTAATCCCTTTTTTATTGTATATTCTTATAGCGTTTCTCGAGATCTCTTCATAATTATCCACTTTGTAACGGACACTTTTTAACCTCCGAGAGTTCCTTACACGGAAGCTAAACCAACTAACATTAAGATCACCTTGAATTTTTTTAAATCGACGGTCGGTCGGTCGAGCCAATAAAAGCAATATCGGCGGCTAATTCAGCCAGTGAAGACAAGATCGGTGCCTAATCCAGCCAATAAAAGCAAGATCGATATCTAAACCAATCAATGAAGGCAAAATCAGTAGACGATCCAGTCAATGAAGGCAAGATTAGTGACGATCCGGTCAATGAGGGCAAGATTACTGGACAATCCGGCCAATAAAGGCAAGATCAGAGGACAGTCCGAAATATGCGATAAAAATTAAGGATTTTACTAAAAAAGTTCAAGGCGATCTTGACCTGACCTTAGCGACGCCACCCAAAGTCAAACGCGTATAGCCAATTAATAAATCTTTTTATACCTTAAAACTTTTGTGTGTGTGTCTGAAATAATTTTTTATGAAACTTATATTTTTTTTAGATATATTGAGATCTCGATCTTTTTCAAACATCCTATATGCCGTAGCGATGAAACGATCCATTTCCGATCTCAAAACCATTTGGGGCAAAAAATGATCTTTAAGATGTCCCCAACAATATTTCAAAGTTTGTCGGTTGTATTTGGGAACACCCTATATGAGTCATTCTTTATCAACTAGGACATTCCTCGTCCCAGAACAGTTTTTGTCATAAAATGTTCTACCAAGGCTTAAAATATAAGTATGGATATAAGCTTTATGTCATTTGGCGTTTTTTTTTTTTTTTTATTTAAAATGGCGGATCCAAAATAATGAACCAAAAATTAAGAAATGTTTGAATTTTTATAAAAATCATTACCCAAGAACTTCTGGTCGCTAATTGCGAAACGGAAGTCAGATTTCAAAAATTTGAAATGGGCGATCCAATATGGCGAACGAAAAATCAAAAAAAGAAAAACTTTAATATTGAGAAAGAACTATATTAAAATTAAAAAAATGAACATTATAACATCATTTGAATTCCCAATAAATTATTTGGGAGTAGTTTTAAAAGCAAAACTAATCATGAATAAAAATATTTTAATTTTTTCTGTTTTTCATTACTATGTTTATTTTTTGAATGCATCGCCTTTAGTTAATGAATAAAAATTCAAAACCAACCGAAGCATTCAAATATTGTGATTAATAATTTGTTTTGTGGCAATACCGTAAGGGAATGATTTTGATGCATGTTTGGAATTAGTAGAGCTGAATCAAATCTTCCTTTCAGTGATCTTTTAATTTTGTTTTGCTCTACTTTGTTCTAAAAATGAATTGTATTGGGAGTACAAATAAGTCTCCACCGTTTTTTTATCAAAAATTGGGCATTTATTGTGAAAGAACAGTACCTTATGTTTTATTCAAAATATTGTCCATCGCTAGCCACTACTTTTTCCCATCTTTGTGGCAACATACGGATACCGCGTCGGAAGAACGCTTCATCTTTTGAGACTATCCACGAATCGACCCAATTTTTGGTATCTTCATATGATGTGAAGTGCTGTTCAGACAGGCCGTGCGTCATCGATCGAAACAAGTGATAGTCAGAGGGAGCAATGTCTGGTGAATACGGCGGATGGGGTAAAACTTCCCAATTGAGTGTTTCCAAGTAGGTTTTGACAGGCGCCGCAACATGTGGATGAGTATTATCATGCAGGAGAATAATTTTGTCGTGTTTGGAGTAGTAATGGGCGCGTATTTTCTTGAGTGCTCGGCTCAATCTCATCAATTGTGTTCGGTAGAGAGCCCCAGTAATGGTTTCGTTCGGTTTGAGCAACTCATAATACACGACACCAAGCTGATCCCACCAAATACACAACATGAGTTTTTTTCCATGAATATTCGACTTGGCTGTCGATGTTGAAGCATGGCCACGTGGTCTCCATGATTTCCTCTTCTTTGGGTTATCGTAGTGGATCCATTTTTTATCACCAGTGACTATACGATGCAAAAAACTCTTTCGTTTATGCCTGGCAAGCAGCATTTCACATGTGTAAAATCGGCGTTCAACGTTTCTCGGCTTCAGTTCATATGGAACCCAATTTCCTTGCTTTTGAATCATTCCCAACGACTTTAAACGATGTGAAATTGCTTGTTGAGTCACTCCTAATGTAAGTGCAAGTTCTTCTTGCGTTTGGCACGAATCTTCCTCCAATAATGCTTCCAATTCCGCGTCTTTGTACACTTTCAGCCTTCCACTACATTCTTTGTCTTCGACGTCAAACTCACCGTGCTTAAACTTTTGAAACCACTCACGACAACTTCTCTCACTTAAAGCAGCCTCACCATATGCTTCTACAAACAATCGATGCGTCTCAGCTGCAGATTTCTTTAAATTAAAGAAGTAAATCAAAAGTTCCCGCAAATCACGCTTATTCGGCTCAAAACTCGACATTTTCGCACGAAAAAAATTATGTGATGCTGATACAAAATCGCTAATATTTCATGGTTATAGTGTTGCCAGATGTCCAACCTTACGATATGACGTTTTACATCTGACAATTTCAACCATAACTTACTGGTGGGGCCATCTTTTGTCAAACTGCGGAGACTTATTTGTACTCCCAATAATAAAAAGGGTGATATTCATAGGAGCACTTTTATCATTTGTCATTACGCGTGCCTGAGTGCGCGAAATCTCAGCCCTATCATTGATGAAATATAATCGCTTTCCGTTTGAAAACTATTATAACCTCGATATTTTTGAATGAAAGTTTTTGTTTTGAAATGTTCTAAAGAATTTTTCATTCAAATAGCATTGGGTAGTTTCGGGTATATAATTGATTGATTTACAATAAATTTTGTTTTGGTTCCAGCATTGATCACTATATAGAGTGTCCCATAATGATTAGTAAATCTCAGAAGCAGTGAAAGAAGGTGGAATTTTGAACTAAAAGTTCCTTTTTCACTTTTGGCTCAAGCCATTATTTACTGAGTTATTGACTCTTGAAATTTCCGAATGAGGAGTGCTACCATATTATGCAGGTGCGTCGCGTACCATGCCACCCCTCGTCCTTGCCCAGGTTACATAGCTTCTGTTAAAATTTTGCCACATTTATTAATACATGAATAAATAAATAAAAACAGTTAGAAATCGATCAACTAATTAGTTTGAAAAAATTATTCATACATCAACTAATTAGTTTAAAAAAATTATTCATACATTATCCGAAATTAATAAATCCATAAATAATTGATGTCAATTGTGTCTTTTTACGTTTCTCATCATTTGAAAAAATAAATATATAAATAATTAATTAATTATTATTTAAATTAATTAATTTATTATTTTAGAAAGTAATAAAAACGTAAAAAGACACGATAGGACATCAATAAAATTTATGTATTCATTAATTTCGGACAATGTATTAATAATTTTCTGAAATTAATTAATTAATCGATTTCTAACTGTTTCTATTTATTCGTTCAGGTTTTTTTTAGAAAGGAATTGAGGTGGAAGAAAAAAAGTTTAAATGCAATTCTTTAATTTAAAAATAACCAAATATTTAAATAATAATATTTTTATTTTAATAACATTTGTTATTAAAAAAAACAAAACATTTTAACAATAACATTAAAATGACATTTCACACATTAACATTTAACATTCTTTTTAAATCATTTAACAATATTATTTACACAACAAATTTTATTTACACAATGTACATTACATTTTTCGCTTTGTGGCCCTGAAAAGAGCATATTTGTTCACAATGCCGGCTCAAAATATCCTCCATCAAATGCTAAACAAGCGTGGGCTCTTTTCAATGCTTTGTTCCTTACGCGAAGAAGCGTCTCGGAATCTATGATTGCCACAGCAGCGTGTAGTCGAGCAACCATTTCCTCCACATCTTCTGGCTCTTCCGCATAAACTTTTTCCTTCAAATAACCCCAGAGGAAGAAGTCCATGGGCGAGAGATCAGGCGAACTGACAATAATAAACAAATTTAAATTATTATTAATTTTTTATATGGCGGTATACATAGTTTATGTATGAATGATGTACATAGTTTTATATCTAAGATCATCTTATTATATCTATTGTTATATCTAAGATCTAAGTTTATCTTCATATACTTTGTAGCCGATAAAACGAAACTATACGGTATCTAAAGATAAACTTAAGACGATCTTAAATATAATAGTCGCTTATGAACATCGGCCTATATTTTGATTCCGGTTAAATATGTGCTGGCAATCTGGAAGTTGACTATGCTGTTCTATATTCGTCTTTACCGAAACTAAATAATTTCGTTGTACACGATTATATGTATTAATATAATTTAATATACATATATTTAATATTCATGTATTTAATATACATGTGTTAATATACATGTATTAATATAATTTAATTAGGCGTATCCGACGGACGAAAAGCCATTGTCGAGAATACAGGGCATAGTTTTGCGCCATTTATATCTTCTTTTGGGATACAATCAAACTGAGCGTACCTTCCATACATCTCCACAACGTCTACGGTGAGATTTTTATTGCTAATTAAAAACTGTTTAAATGTTAATAATATTACCATTGAAGTTGATGATTAATAAAATGTTAAAATTACCGTAGACTTTCGCCGGGGTTTAATGTCTTCATCGCTAATTTACCACAATTATTAGACCAAAATCACGCAATGGGTTTGTTAATGACATCGCCAGTTCTAGCAATATTACAACATTGCCCTTGCCCACCACAAACTACCCCACCTACCGATCACCAACCACCGAGCTACAGTCTTTGGTACTTGGAGCCACATATCAGGAGATCTTGGTTGATGTCTCTGCTTGTTATTTTATACAAGGTAAAAAAGAGTTATGTAAAACAGTAATATTATATAGAGTAGAATATTATATAGTTAGAATATGATATAGGATGTCCCAGACTATCATTCTCAAATATTATCTTTCGTAATTATACGATAGAGAAGTTTGAGTTTCTCCTATCGCTAATACATTATAGATCACAACAGATTTCTAGTAATTTTTTCATAATAAACTCCAACAAAACGATAGAATACAAGTCTATAGAAATTCTATCATATTAACTAATAATAAGAAATTATTTCATTTCTTTCGAATTCGACATATTAAAATTATATACTACGATAGAGAACAATAATATTTTCTGTAAATTTCTTCGGTTTCTATATTATTTTCTCTCTTTTTATTTTTTTAAATCACAGATACTTATTATATTAATGAGAACTGTCTTATAAAGTGATCTTCTATTAAATGCAATTGTGGGCGCGTAACTGCTATAGACGCGAGCTTCGGCACGGTGCGACGAAATGTACAGGGTGCGGCGCCAAAATCCGGACAAAATTCAATTTGAAATTATCGCCGTTCTATACCACTGGTAGATGTCGCGATTAGCGTTCAAATAGCTTGACGCATGTACTAAACCATCATAACTTCGAAACAGTGGCAATGTTGAAACCAAGTGCGGAGTATAACCGAAGAGCCGCGATTATCGAAAGTGTTCGCGCTGGGCGCTCGGCGACAGAAATCATTCGGTTCTTCGGGTATCTGAGATCGACTGTGTATGATGTCATCGCAAAGTACAATGAGTCGGAGAAATCCAACGAAGGTTTTGCAACACCGGCGAAGAAAACCCACTCGAAGGAGCGCGTTGTCAGGACGCCTGACATCATTCATCGGGCTCAGGAACTGATTTTTGAGGATCCAGGGCAGTCGATCCGAAAATTGTCGTTGGTTGTTGGTGTGAGCGAGAAAACTATGCGTCGAATCGTCGAGGAGGACTTCCACTACAAGTCTTACACAATTAAAGTGAGACAGATGCTTTCCGAAGCTGCCAGGACAAAGCGAGTTGAACGCTGCAACTTGCTTTTGTATTCCTTAAGAAACAATGCTGCCGGACGACTCAGGTTTTTTTCTGATGAGAAAATTTTTACTGTCGATGTGAAAATCAATCGAAGAAATGACCGCTGGCTCGCCCACGACCCTGAAGATGTCCCCATTATTGCAAGAACGAAATTTCCGGCGAATGTTCATGTGCTAGGTGTTGTATCCAGTGAGGATAATGTCATGCCACCGCATTTCTTTAACAAAGGGGAAAATGTCACAAAAGAAGTTTATTTGCGTGTTCTGACAAATGTAGTGAAGCCGTGGATGGAAACTGTATGCCGTATGTTTTCCAGCAGGACGATGCGCCCGTCCACACATGTCATTTGGTGCAAAATTGGTTGTCGGACAACGTCGACATGTTTTGGTCGAAAGAATTCTGGCCTCCCAATAGCCCAGATTTGAATCCTTTGGACTTCTATGTATGGAGCGTAGTTGAAAGGGTCACGAACAAGTCCAGACATCAAAACCTCGCATCATTGAAAGCCGCTATTGAAGCGGCATTCACCGATATGGACCGTGACACATTAAAGCCTGCGCACGCTTCAGACCGAGAATGGAGGCGGTTATTCAAGCAAGCGGGGGATATATTGAGTAAATGTGTTCTTTATGGCCTTACAAACAATGTGGTTAAAAAAATTTTATAAACTTTTTCGTTTTTGCAATAAAAAATATGTTTGGAAAAAATGTATAATTTGTCCGGATTTTGGCGCCGCACCCTGTAGAAGCACAATGTTAGAGTCATAGACTTATATAAATAGACTGACCTTTGCCGTGGGAAGTAAAATGATGACATCTACGGTATGGACATAGCCTTCTAGGTAGATTTGTCCTACTCTAAAATGGGAATAGTGGGAATGGAACTAAATAAGGAGAATGCATAGAAGGAGGGGAAGAAAGCAGAATTTTATTGTGAAGCAGAAATTCTGTGAAATAAGTAATTTATTGTAATAAAGTAATAGTTATCCCAAGTTAATTAATGTATATTTATTTTCTCGTATATGTGCACATTATTATATGTTATTCTGTCCTCATCTTTTGATGACCAATGTGTGTGCTTCATTCGCTACTTTAGTCTCTACCAACCAACTAAAAGAAAAGGACAGAAGGCTACGTCTGTACTGTAGATATTGCTACGCTATCTCTTACGGCAGGAGTCGGGTTATCTATATAAATCTATGCGGCCAGTGGTGCTTGTCCTTCTTCTCACCGCGCGCCGCCATTCGTCTTTTAGCGTCTTTTAGCATCTCGGACACTCCTGCTCTTTTCACTCAATTTTCTATTAATGTTTCAAAAATTATTGTGAATGTCGCAAAACAGTATGAGACTCTCTTGTTCACCTCAACCCAATCTATGCGAAGTTTAAGAATAATGATTTGAGACACCCTGTATGTACATGTTAAAATTAGATATGCATTGTATCTGATGTAAGACGGTCTATGTGTGCATGTAAAACACATTAATAAAATTATGGGTAAAAGATCTTTAACTACTTCATAAATAACCATATAATAATATAAATAATATATAAAAATATAATAATATATAATATAAATGAAGGAATTAATGAAAAATGAATTGGCGAATCAGTGCTCTTTAAGTACGAACTCATCGAAAATGTTTGAGATATGACTATCTTTTAGCAACAGTATAAACGGCACGTAGATTGCTGTAGCTTGTTTCTCAATATATCGCAAGCGCGTCGTATATATATCATGCGTGTGTCGTTAAAAAGCAGCGGCAAGTCTTATTCATTTTTTAAAAGACCACGCCTACAGAACTAGATCAATAATATCATGTGCACTGGTTCGCAAATTATTTTTCATTAATTTTGTGAATTTTTACGTAGTTGTACGAAAAATAGTAGAAAACCTTCTACTCAGTTGATATGTTCTCATTACACATATGCATGAATCCTTCGCAAATCATATACCTTATATACAAGGTGTCCCATTTTTAAATGACCCACTGGAATATCTCTTCAGGAACTTGTTTTTGAGAAAAATGTTTTAGAGACAAAAGTTACAGGGTTCGGCGGGAGTCACCTGAGTATTGGTGATCTTGACTTTGACCTTGGAGACTACTGTTAAGATTATTTCAACGTTACATTGATTTTTTGAACAAAAACCCTTATTTTTCATTGCATATACTTCCCAAATAGCACATGGACGTCTTATGGACGTCCAGTGGACGTTCAAGTTTGAATATTGGGACGTCCATAAGACGTCCGAATAAAGCTTAACAGACATCCGGTGGACGTTTATAGGATATCCGTTTTTACCTATTTCTGACGTCCTTAGAATATTAAAAAAAGGATCTACGCTGGACATTATTTTTAGCGTTCTTATTCAGTTTAATTTTCTAACAGCAACTATTCGTAAATGTCACAGCGTTTGCTGATTTCACTTGAAAATTTTAAATTACTTTATTCCAATGTTATATCACATTTAAAAATTCTCACTGACACTCAAACTTGGATCTGCGAGGCACCTCTCGATTATGAATCTGTTGCTTTAGACACAACATCATTTTAACGATCGATATAAACGTCTTACATTTTGCCTATATACGAGTGCTGCTCCGTAAGTTTTGCGACTAGTAAGGAAAACACGGTAATTTGTCATTGAAAATGGCTTTATTGTTTTTCAAAGTATTCTCCATGATAATCAATACACTTCTGCATTCGCTCAAATCATTTATTATAGCTTCCATGCCACTCCGAAAGTGGTACCTCCAAAACATGTGTTTTAAACGCATCAACCGCTTCTTCTGGCGTCGAAAATCGTTGACAACGCAGTTTATTCTTGATGTTCGGGAACAAAAAGAAGTCATTGGGTGCCAAATCAGGACTGTACGGTGGATGACCCATTAATTCGATGTTTTCACCGGTCAAATAG